TGTTGTTTTTGATCATTCAAGCTTTATTATATTAAGACTCGGTAATATTTCACAGGATAGTAGCCATGTATATATAAACAGGTCATTTATATTTACAATAAAATCTCCAATATCTACATACTAAAACATAATATACTATTTACAATGCAACTTTGCCTTAACATCCGACAAGAACAATGCAAAATGTCTAAAAATACACTCATTTTCATCTGTTTGTATTAAATTACAAGTCAAATTGAAAACTTCAAAGAATTGTCAGTTGAAAACTTTAGTCTGCAATATTAAGGTTGTTTTTTAAATATTTCTTTAATAAGGAAAAGATGTAAATTAATTTACAAATGTATTTAACTCGAGACATTGAGACAATTTAAATTTGTTTCTATTCCGAATAAAACTCCATTAATTATGTTGTATATATTACAATCAATGATGGGAGAATATTGCACACTACTAGATGACATAGACAATGATGTAAGAGAATAAAAAGTTCTGTTCCTAAATACCAGGATAACCAGGTGGTCTGACAGCTTTTGTCATATAAAATAAACATTAATGTAATACATAACACATTCTACATAACTAACATGATGCATGGATATAATGAATGTAACAGTGAATCAGCTACCAGTAACAAAAACAACAGCTTCTATAATAACAGCTTACAGCTTTTCCATACAGGACAAATATTCAAATAAATGATGAAATAATGCATATACAATTAGTATTTACAAATCTAATTTTCAAATCTACTAGATTTATCACATTTTCTCTCCAGTGTTAATATTTTACAACCTGTTTTCATTCACTACACATCTTTAACATTACAATTAATTCAATGATAAAAAAACAGTATATATTAATAAGTTTTAGCAGAGATGAAGATGCTATCTATGTCTCTGGTTTTAGTAGAACAAAATATCTTTTCTTATATGAAACTCAGAATATTGATGTTTTCCTACTTCATAAACAAATTTATATCTGAAAGTTTTATAAACATTTATATCACATGATGTAGTCACCTTTATGATAAATGGTTATGTTGTAGAATTTGTTTGGTAGCAATGCTGAATAAATTCAGACAAACTGGAGTTACTTCCTACCTTTACAGGTAGGGGTAGTAGGAAGATACTCTCCCATCATTATTTCAGGCATGACCGTATGTATATCAGCTTAATGTTACATTGTTTTTTGTGTCATATGGCAAATTTCCAGCAATGCTAAAGTAGGAAGACCTCAGGTGCACCTTTGTGCATTATTTCTGGCACAAATGTGCATGGCAGCACCCGAGTAGAAACACTGATGTTCTGTAAGCTAGCTTGATAGCTTTCTCACATGAATGAATCCAAACACGCTCCATGGCTTATATCAAACCTACAGCAGTGAGGGCCAAGTGGTTTGAAGTCAATCACCAAAACCATTAAGTGAAGCTCTGTCTCATATCAATGTATTTACCATATCAGTTGAAAACTCTGTTAATATCATTATGTTTATCAACAGTTTTCAACAACAATATACAAGGTGTATCAGTTAACAAGAGATTAGCTAGTATCACCAGCAAACAGTCCGAATATTGGCGTAAATTGTCAATAACCTGTGGCCGTTTATATATAATTAATAGAAAAAGAAGAAAAGTCCAAGCATAAAAAGATTTTTAGGAGAAACACCAGCCTTATTGTTAAGAAAAGAAGATGACTAGCCCTTTGTTTCCTGTTAAATAGATAAGACAGATAAATTGTTTATTATTATACCAACAATATAGATAATAAACATTTGTAACAACTGAACATGACAGTAAAAAGTAACAAAATTTCACTTCACAAAACCTGAATTATGAAAACATGAAACTTAAATGAATAGCTGCTTAAAATTAGCACCACCAGAAATTTTGATAATAAAGGTTCTATAAATGTACAAACCAGTTTAAAGAGCAATAAAAACAAGAAGAAACGTTTTTAAAATACAAAAGTCCCTATCCAAGTTTCATAAATGCATAACAGTTTCAATGAATTTCCAAAACATTCTAATACAATATTATTTATAAATTTAGTGTTCATTTCTCAGCAACTTAATTCTGTTTACTATAGCTATCTTTTAATGGTTTTCTCATAAATTAAAGTCTTAATAGAACAAATAAACAATGCAATAATGATATTATCACTACAGTTAACAAATGACCATGTTTACATGAGTACAGTTAGGCTGTATCATTAAGTTGACTAAAGAGTTCATAACCCTTTTTTGTATAGCTAATCATGTTTTTATGAACAATACAAAAAAAAGTGATTGTTTTCCAAAACCATTACCCCGTTTTTTCCTTGTGAACATTAAAAGTAAAATTTTTTCAGATTAAAATTTCCCTTTATTGTTAAACAAAGTAATAATAAAAATTAAAATCTACAATTAACCTTGACCCTGCTATTAAACTTAAAACTTCTGAAAACCAACATTATTCCTGCCAGCAGGGACTCTTTAGTCTTAATAAAAGTGAACAGACAAACTGCCTAATTAGGTTTTCACTCTAAATAAAATTATAAAAAAAAAATATTTGACATGACTGTATATAAAATTATGTACAATAAAACATGTCACGTAAAAATCCTGACACTATAAATATATACTGTTCTAAAATATGAATGACAAAGAGTGTACTAAACTGAACATATTAGTGAAGTTTTATACTGAATTAAATCTGCCTCAAACATTTAAATATTTACTTACGAAAATTACGCTTAATCATGATCAAATTTGAAAATAATTGATTCAATTATGTAACAATTTTCTGTATCTAAAGAGACCTTTTAATGTAAAAAGAAGTAAAATCTAGAGAAGATTTTTCTATGATCACAATTAGAATGTATTATATATTCTATGATCACAATTAGAATGTATTATATATTCTATGATCACAATTAGAATGTATTATATATTCTATGATCACAATTAGAATGTATCATATATTCTATGATCACAATTAGAATGTACCATATATTCTATGATCACAATTAGAATGTATTATATATTCTATGATCACAATTAGAATGTACCATATATTCTATGATCACAATTAGAATGTATTATATATTCTATGATCACAATTAGAATGTATTATATATTCTATGATCACAATTAGAATGTATTATATATTCTATGATCACAATTAGAATGTATTATATATTCTATGATCACAATTAGAATGTATTATATATTCTATGATCACAATTAGAATGTATTATATATTCTATGATCACAATTAGAATGTACCATATATTTATGATCACAATTAGAATGTACCATATATTCTATGATCACAATTAGAATGTATTATATATTCCTATGATCACAAATTAGAAATGTACCATATATTCTATGATCAGAATAAGAATGTATTATATATTCTATGATCACAATTAGAAATGTATTATATATTCTATGATCACAATTAGAATGTATTATATATTCTATGATCACAATTAGAATGTATCATATATTCTATGATCACAATTAGAATGTATTATATATTCTATGATCACAATTAGAATGTATTATATATTCTATGATCACAATATATTCTATGATTACAATTAGAATGTATTATATATTCTATGATTACAATTAGAATGTATTATATATTCTATGATCACAATTAGAATGTATTATATATTCTATGATCACAATTAGAATGTATTATATATTCTATGATCACAATATATTCTATGATTACAATTAGAATGTATTATATATTCTATGATCACAATTAGAATGTATTATATATTCTATGATCACAATTAGAATGTATTATATATTCTATGATCACAATTAGAATGTACCACCATATATTCTATGATTACAATTAGAATGTATTATATATTCTATGATCACAATTAGAATGTACCATATATTCTATGATCAAAATTAGAATGTATTATATATTCTATGATAACAATTAGAATGTATTATATATTCTATGATCACAATTAGAATGTACCATATATTCTATGATCACAATTAGAATGTATTATATAGTCATTGATCATAATTAGAATGTACCATATATTCTATGAACACAATTAGAATGTACTATATATAATTCTCGTTGACCTTGTGAATGTAATGTGTTAATGAAACAACTCTATCTGTTACAAAGTGAAATTTAAGTCATGAATAATGTGAGTGACACTTTGATATACATGAATGATTATGTCTGTTATTGATAATATGTTTGAAACCATAAGTCCATGCTTTTCCCCCATAAACCCAAAATCATGGTCATCTAAATTAGTTGACTATAAAAATATAATTGCTGCTAAAAAACATAGCCCCTGCGTACAATAAACCAAAACCCCGGAAAAAAAAATTGATTGTGCTGTCAAAATAACCAATCCCTGTTTTTTTATAACATAATCCCTGCGTCATCATCCATGCTTGGATGACAGGGTGAGAAAAACCATTGGTCTGCTGAAAGTCTGATGAAAGGGCACCCTTTTGTTTCAAATTCAAGGTCTGCCCCGGAACTGGAATATTTTTGTTTTCATAGTATGAAAGTTTGGGGCTGAATTTTTTTTTATGTTAATTTTTGGCGCACTGTTAACTGTTTTCAGTTTTTGGGTTAACAAGTGTTTAAACTTTTCATGTCCTGTTGAAAACCCTGTTTTAACCCCGAGCCTCTCAAAGCTCCAAAATTTCTGAATGAAAATTAAAATATACATGTAGTTAACAAAAACCTTGATGTATAACAAAACATTTGGTTCAGTGATTATGTTTTGTTTGATGTGTAAAGTCAAAGGTTCAGCTTAATGATATAAAGCCTCTCATAGCTCTTAGAGACAAGCTCTTATGTTTTAAAGTAAGAAAAATAAGGTCAAAAGTTAAAATGCTAAAGCCCTTTTTAAGTGTTGATATTAAGGCAATACAAAACTTCAAAACAATCTTGTTTTATCCCCAAATTTTTTATAAAGGGGAAAAACACGAACAATATTAGATTTATATGAAAGAGCCGCGCCCTACAAAAACCAATTAAACTTTTGGGCCCGCATAGATCCGCCCTCGCGCATCCCTGCACCTGAAAAGGAGAATGCTGTTCTATTTGTTTTTCTACTTTTAAAAGGGGGTTTTCAGGCGAAAGCATGGTCCCGATCAACTCGCTGATCGCAGGGTGGGTTTGGTCCATCGGTTGCAAAACATATTTGGTTTTTTTCATGACGTAGCCAAATGACATTATTTTTACATTTATTAAGAATATCTTAGGCAGGGGGGGCCAATTTAGATTCTTATTTATTCGTAAAACAGGAAAAAATGAGTTTATTTATACGTAAAAGGATTAAGAAAAATTTAAAGCTTATCACCCGTCGGACCTTTTTTTTTTGATTATTTTTCAAAAGATAATTTGTTTCTTGTCATAAAAATTTGAATTGTTTATCTATTCAAGGTAAATTATATATATTTGTTTAACTTTAAGTTTATTTATGAAACAAATTTAAACCTAAAACAACCGTTAAGATTAATATAATATAATCCTTGGAAGTTGCAGTGTTGTAATTTCTCTCACAAGATAATCTTTGGTACTTTATATATATGAGCCGCGTCATGACAAAACCACATCCGCATCCGCGCAGTCTGATCAGGATTCATGCTGTTCACTTACAAACTCTATTACAAGTAGAGAAACTGATAGCGAACAGCATGGATCCTGATCAGACTGCGCAGATGCGAAGGCTGGTCATGATCCATGCTGGTCACAAACGCATCATGTTGGTTTTGTCTCGACGCGGCTCTATTTTATTAAAAAAATTTACCTGCACTCTCAGCATCATTTTTCTATTTTGTAATTCTGTCTGTCTTTGTTTTTCTTCAATCTGTTTAAGGCGTTCTTGATCTCTTCTCAACTTTCTAATATAATCAACAGATGCCTTCAATATTGAACCCTTGTTCTGTCGTAAATCACTGAAACAAATTACAATTCTCATACATTAACCTGGCTACATTTTTATTCAACTATAACAACTACTAGTATTTAATATATGTAACAAACAAAGATTATCAGAAACAATTCAAAACATGATTTTTGTTACCAAAATTCTTGTAAAAATTTGTTGATTGTAATAACTTAACGAGGATTTGGAAAACCTGCAGTCACTGATCTATTGTATATCACAATTGTCACTGGACTTCAAAATACTTGGTCTTGAGTCATCTACAATCAACTGTACATGTTACTGCTTGTGTAATGATAACTATCTACATCATGATAACTGTGTACATCATGATAACTGTCTACATCATGATAACTGTCTACATCATGATAACTGTCTACATCATGATAACTGTGTACATCATGATAACTGTCTAAATCATGATAACTGTCTACATCATGATAACTGTCTACATCATGATAACTGTCTACATCATGATAACTGTCTACATCATGATAACTGTCTAAATCATGATAACTGTCTACATCATGATAACTGTCTACATCATGATAACTGTCTACATCATGATAACTGTCTACATCATGATAACTGTCTACATCATGATAACTGTGTACATCATGATAACTGTCTAAATCATGATAACTGTGTACATCATGATAACTGTCTACATCATGATAACTGTCTACATCATGATAACTGTCTAAATCATGATAACTGTCTACATCATGATAACTGTCTACATCATGATAACTGTCTAAATCATGATAACTGTAATCATGATAACTGTCCACATCATGATAACTGTCACCATGATAACTGTCATCATGATAACTGTCTACATCATGATAACTGTCATCATGATAACTGTCCACATCATGATAACTGTCTACATCATGATAACTGTCTACATCATGATAACTGTCTTCATCATGATAACTGTGTACATCATGATAACTGTCTACATCATGATAACTGTCTTCATCAAGATAACTGTCTACATCATATAAATACTACATCATATAACACCAGCATACTCACGGGTCTATAGTTCGAGGAAGTAAGGTACCGAGTTCTTTAATTCTGTCATTTATGTTAAATCTTCTCCTCCTTTCAACTGAAACATTCAACAATAAATAATTTACCCCCATTTTATATACTAAACTAACTTACATAGTATATTCTTATTTTATAACTATTTTAAGGAACACTCAACCTGTTGGTACCTTTTGCTATCAGTACTGTCTGACCAGACTCAATACTGCTGGTTGATCATATTTTTCTACTTTTATATTAAAATCCCTTAAATTTAGAATGGACTGTTCCAAATTCAAAGCTGGGCAAATCCATTATACAATACAGGTTAAGGAATAAAGCATTTATTGTATATAATAACACTTCTAAGTTCCAAACAGTCACCTTCAAAATTCTTATACAATTACTTTACCAATAAAACAAAATTACATTTACCGTGACAGTTTATGACTGTATGGTTAACATTTGTACAATAACATTGACATTAGTTTAAACAGAGCTTCCTCTTTTCCAAACATGACAGAGAAAAAAACTCCATAACTTTCATTTCATATATTGGTTTTTGAAATATCCATTGACTGAGGTCACAACTAAAGTGGACGGCTTAAATAACAAGCATTGAAAGAAAAAGCAACATAACAAGATCAACACATCACCTAGCATACTCAGATAAATCATTATTATATATCAAGTTAACCACTTACTCATATTGTGATTGTCCTTCTTCTGCCTCTCCTTCGCCCACATTCTAGCATCATCTTCAGTGAGGAACGAAGTAGGCGTGGCTATTCTCTGTCCCGGTAAAACAGTAGGGGCTGACTGAGCAGAGGATATAGCTCCACCCACTGGAGTAAATACATAATCATTGGAGGCAGGATTCTGAAATACAGTTAATTAATATATGTAACAGGAAAAAAGTTCAATACTAAAATATGTTAAAAGTATAAAATAAAGTTCAATACTAAAATACATTAAACAGTATAAAGTTACAGGTACATAAAGTTCAATACTAAAACATAGAAACAAAATAAACATAGTAATCACTATCCTTTTTAAAACTCACAAAGGTCTAAAAGCTTGTGAATCAATATCAGTTAAATAAAAGGTAACTTAAATTATTCATACACAATAACAACCAAATAAATACAAGCCAAGTTTATTAAAGACTGTATTAAAGGTAAGTAATTGGGCTTCACTTACTGTAGATGACATTTGTACAAGTGAAGGTGTTATAAATTTGAGATCATCATCAAAGTTCGTGTCCACAGACTCAAGGTCCTGAAGGTCATTGAGTATACTTTCCACCTGTAACCAGTAAATATTATAAATCAATTGTAAATAAATATCATAAAATTATAATTCTGTATATTCTTCTTCAACAAGCACCTAATAGATAATATAATTAAATCTAAATTAAATCTCTATTTCTTCACAATACCTCACTTAAGGTAATTTATGTTTTATTCAATTTTACAAGAAAAAACATATAATTTTTATATTCTTACAAGAAAAACATATATTTTCAACTTTAAAGTTTAGTTTGTTTTTATTTGTTTTGGTTTTACTTACACCACTTCCCAGTTTTACTAGTGGAGGAAGACCTCAGGTGCCCTGAACATTAATTCAGGTACAAACAGGCACATGAGTAGAACCAACAACATTCTATAAGCTAGCTGGATAGCTTTCACACATGCAAAACTCTGAAGACACTTGCCCAGCTCATATGTACTGAGGCAAGTAGAGGCAAGTCGCAAGTGGTTAAAAATCAACAACTTTAACCACTTGGCCACGGTCACCAGGAAAATTCGAGTTTTAAAGAAACAAAGTACATGTATTACATAAAAAAATTATTACAAACACTAACATACTAACCTCGGAGATACTTGTGGCAGTGCTACTCATACCAACAGAGAGTGGACTATCAGGATCTACCGGGGCACTACCACTGTGTGCATGATGAGGGATATCACTGGTTGATGTAAGTCGTACATTCGGCATAGATTGTACCCCAGCATGGTTACCTTGTGATTGACTTAAATACGACTCTATCTGATGCTTTTGTTTTTGTATGACATGATATCGTGTTGGGTTCTCCAATTTTGTTTTCACCTTGAAAATATAAATAATCTTATTATCTAAAACCATTAAAATATACCATTAAACAAAATTAATGTGGCATTAAAAGAGTGAGGAAATTTTTCTAATATTTTTGCAGTTTTGTATTTTACCCTTATCATTTACCATGATCAATTATTGGTCAATCACCATAATAACAGTTTATCTTTTTACATATGAGCTGTGCCATGACAAAACCAACATAGTGTGCATCTGCGCAGTCTGATCAGGATCCATGCTGTTTGCTTACCAACCCTACTACAAGTAGAGAAACTGATAGCGAACAGCATGAATCCTGATCAGACTGCCCGTATGCACAGGCTGGTCTGGATCCATGCTGGTCGCAAACGCACTATGTTGGTTTTGTCGTGACGCGGCTCATATATAGCTAATTCAGCTTAACCTGACAATGACAAAAATGAGCATAATGTAACTTTAATGTCAAAACTTATACATTTATGACAAATTCATTCAAAAAATATGTCTGCAGGAAAAAAGCTCTCTTAAACTGATATGATGGTGTAGAAAAGAAGATTTAGAAATATAACAAAGTTAAACTTGTCTTTTTACAGATATAAGAAACAATGATTTCCTACAGAGCTTTAATGCAGAAGAAAAAATTGTAGAATGTCTAAACACAGAATCAAAATGAATACAAGATTCAATATCCTTAATTCCTTGCTAGTCATATTATAAACTATCATCATTTGGCGTTACTTTTTATAAAATTGTTGTTGTTATTTATACAATAATACAGTTATATTTTACCTGTAGAACTTGTGGGGGGACCTCTGATGTATGTGATGTTTGTGGTGGCATGTCTATACCAGTGGTTGGTATGTACGATGTTTTCAGCGACTGCGAATACTGACGTTCTCTTTTCTCTTCTTCCTCCGCCTGTTGTCGCATAAGCTGTAGCTTGAGATTCGTGCGCATCTGTAACGATGCATTCTTGATCTCTGTTGTTTTTGGACTGAAAAATATATAAGATTATTTATAATTGATTAGTAAATAAGTAAGGAAGTAACGACTTTCTTCAATGAGGCTCTTACACATTCAGTTTCCCGATCCTCAACATATATCGATTCATGATCTAGGAAAAAATCTCAACTAACCTGCGTGACAAATAATGTATGTTGGTACATATTGCATTTCAAATTCTTACATTTGGTGTAACAAGTTGCGTAAAGATGTTTAAAGCATCATTTCCCTATACCTGTTAACATGTGGGTGCAATATAAACATAATTTTTTTTAGGTTCAATTTTAAGATCATGCATTTCTTTACATTATTTGGGGCATATAAAGTTTCTTACACTTTATCTTTCTGAATAATCCACGCTTTTGTAACTAACATTTTATTCCTGTTATACCATTCAATACATTCAATAATGTCACATACTCAAAACCGAAACAACTCAACACGGACCCAATTGTCTAATATCCCTTTTGTAAATAAAGACTAACAAGCAAATTTTTGTCAGCCACTTATCTTCCTTATTCACTCTATAAAAATAAATTAACAATTGTTATTGTCATCTACACATCAAGGTCACTTCACCATACGAAATAATATAAAAACTCTTTTTATTTTGCTAGAATTAATAGTGACATTCTTTCATAGTAAAGATTTATTATCAATAATTTACAATTCTACATGAGGCTGGGATATACATGTAGATTTCTGTATCAATAACAGTATCAAATCTCACCACTCATTATCTGTTACTATCAATTTACCATGTTACCATATTTACTTCAATAAGTCACTATCATACATTACAAAGACTGACTAATACACTAAACAGATACTGAAAAATAAAATATAAATACTGTAACATAGTCTAAATACTGTAAAATAAAACGCAGATTCTGTAACATAAAACATAGATATTGTAACATATAACATGTAGATATTGTTATCTTTATTAAAGTAAAGTATTTTGACTAACAATCAAATATGTCTACCAAACAATTCTATAAAATAATATCTAAAATCTGTCAATAATTCAATAACAAATTCATTAAGAAATTTTATAACTTAAAAATTTGATGCTTAATTAAGTTTAATGTCATTAAAGGGTAAAGGAAATATTCCAGTATTGTATGTTAGCAGGATATTAAAGCTGCCCTGGACAGACACACAAAAATAATAAGATTCAATTTATTGACATTGAGGCATAAATATTGCAAGGAAAAATTCCAAACACTGACCTGATTTCTGTAGATCTGATCAAATTATTAGTCATTAACATAATTTCTATAATCTAATTAGTATGACTCTGAATTTAAATTTCCGATCAAATAAGTGGTAAATCAAGTACAAATGTATGTATACATACTGATGGCCTATTTAACGGACAAATATTAAAGTTTATATAGAATGTTGCCTGGCATTGTCATAGTTTCATGATAATGACTCATCCACATCAAATCTCTTAAATCTAAGCAAATAATCACTCTGTATATATATATATTAAATGTTTCAAAATAACTGTAACAACAACATATGTATAACATATATATAACATTTAACATATTATTTCTGGGTTGTCATCAGGGGCACCTGTGGGCTTAAATGCATTTTTACCTGCCTCAAATCTTAGAGACACCCTTTCTTGATTGTGATAAACCAAAAACACTTGATTTAAATGACTACATGAAGACAATATATCAGATCATTTTCAAAGACAACATAGTAATATAGTATTGTAAAATACTAAATGTTTAGGATAATTTTACAATTATCTAGGTCAATCGAATGCTTATGCAATAATCTCAGTTACTTTTAAATCTGCTCAAACACCAACCAAAAATAATTTACAAATCATACAATACCACAGTAATTATAAAATTGGAAATAAATATAATACAGGCTTTTTTCCATTTTTTTAATTGAAGAAATTTGTATTAAAAGTATATGTTTTTTTCTTACCTTAATTTCAAGTCATTTTTAATTTTTTGGAATTTTTAATATATATGAAATTTTTAAGTTGATTACCTTTTCCGGTTGTTTAACATGAATATTCTATACTGGTGTAAAGGCAAAATACTTTTTGGTTTAGTGAGCTTTAAGAAGGTTTTTAATATTTTTTATAGATGCTAATTAAAGGTAAAGGGGGTGAAAGTTCTAATTTAATTTTTATATGAAAGGGAAAAAAAAAATAAAATTTTATATGTATATAGATATATCATGTGTAAAGTTCATGTAGGTAAACAGTACAAGTTACTACAAATATAAGACATGAATTCAATTATCATCATACCAAATTAGTCAAGCTAAATTCTGTTAACAATTTTTGTAATGTCTCTAACATGTACTGATTAATATACATAACAGTTCACTACATGTCAAATATCTATTGTTGATGCAGCATTACTTGCTTATATAACTTTTACCTATATAAACATATTTTAAACAGCTGTGTATAAAATAATGTTATTTATTTCACATAAAAATCTGAAACTTTGAGTTAGGTATATCAAAGAAAAAAAGTATGAAGGGAGAAAAAAAGTATGAAGGGGTAATAATTTCATTATTTTGAATGATAGGCTTGAACAATTTACCACAAATGCTACATACCATTACAACTTTATAATGTAATATCTTACAGAACCAAACTGATTTGCCACCTGACCAGGCTATTTAATGTTACCTGACTAACTTGATATCCCCAAAAACAGATAACAGAAGTGTACCATGCTAAATATATTAAATGGACATGCCAATATTTTAATCAGGACAAACCCATTTATCATTTTAATGAAAGGTTTCAAAACCTATAGTGACTGTAAAGAGTATAGAATATGGATGAACCAGATCATCCTGCTCTCCCTATTGGTGACATGGGTAAATTCAGTTTGCCACTATATGTTAAGAATAAATATATACAAGTTATAGTAGGAGTTATATAATCAGTTAATGTATAGCTAGTTGTAGTTTATTGCCCATAACATATCAGGTAATATACCATCAAATGTGGGCTTTTGTGTGTATTATATAATACCACAACATTTTATCATGAACAAAAAACCAACAGATATATCAATACTGACATTTAATAGAGTTATTTTACAATTTGTAAAACATTATTGTCAAATAGTTCATTTTTGTGCACACAAGTGACATTGCTTCAGAGAAAATTGACAAAAGGTTAAAGCAGTGTGGAAAATAAAGATCTAAAGATCTACAGTCACTATTGGAAATATTCTTCAGAATCCTTATCAATCAATGCCATGTAACTATTAATTCAACAAAAATAAACAAGTGATCCTAAAATAACTAAATGGGAAAGTTAAACTTATAACAAATTTTTTTTTAAAAGCTTTGCTTGCAGTATTATTATAATGTATAAAACCATCTTAAAGTCAACATATTTTTAGGTCAATGCAACAGATTTGTTTTCATGTTTTCTTTTCTGCTTTTGTTTTTTAAAATAAGTTTATTAGTTAGATAATTTATGCCCTATTTCCAGGCTCATTTTTTTACCTACTTAAGCGATGATTTTTCAAGACCAAATTTTAGCAGCAGTTTTTCTCAGTTAAGCCATAGCCTCTTGATTTTGGGAAAAATATCACAAATATTAATTATTTGGGAAGTTAGAAACTAGTGTAGTTTCAGATTTTTGGTAAAGCTGCAGGAGTTTTAAGAGAATTTCTACTGGAAAGAAACCTTTTAAAGGCATCTGTTATAAAAGGTAAAAAATCACTGTTAAGATATAAACTAATTCATTGACACTAAAAAAAATATTGTTATAAATACAGCAGATTTGCAGAGACAAGATATAATTGCCTCTTGTCAAGCTTGATCAAGTTTATATCTGTATAAATCATATTATATATAGACTTTCAAGTTTTACCAACAAAAGCCTTTACAGTTTTTTCAATATTTGCAACTTAATAATTATTGTACTTGCAGCTTAAACCTGATTTTACCAATTCTTAGAATGAAAATATTGGTACAATAAGAACAGAAAATAAAAAAATCCCCAATAAATAAGAATCAATCATAACAAGTTTAAACAACAAGCAAATATATTGTTAGTAAGAGATTAAAGTACAATTTTCAAGTGTTGTATTATATTATTCTTATCTATCTTTGTCAGATCTAGTAATTAAAATCTAAATAACGCCTCTTCAACTACAGTGGTTTTTATGACAAAACAATTAATTGGTAGTTAAAACAATGAGTAAAATCCTGATTCATCAGACACAATATGTTACATTAACATGTCCACACTTGCCTACACACTTCATAATGTACTTGAAATATTTGTCACAACCACTGTCTCACCCTCTACTTCAACAACACACATAATTAATACATGTAACAACTACATATTAAAATATCTTAAACATGATCTATTGGTAATACAAGCAAACTTCTACGCGTAATAGATTAATAAATAATGTTAAGGACTTAGGTGCACCACACCATTACATTGTAACTGACATTCTCAAGCATGTCAACAAGTTCAAATTTCTTCACCTTTAAAACATTTTATTGTCAAATGACTTGATCTGCAGGCTATTAAATTTTTAATTCAAATTATATATAAAACCTTCTATAGTATATTTTATGAATTATGATAATACATGCACTGCACTGAATTAGAATTAACGCGAATTGATTATACAGAAAGCTGTAAATATTACAGTAGTAAGTCTGCTTTCTGTGCATCTGCGTTTGTGTGACCTTCTATTTCTTGAGAGTTTACTAGTCTTATTTCTATCAGTCTGTTATCTGTTAGTCTGCTTTCTGTGATATTACTTTATGTTAGATTGCCTTCTGTGGTACTACTTACTGTTAGTCTGCTTTCTCTAGTACTGCTACCTGTTAGTCTGCTTTTTGTGGTACTGCTACTTGTTAGTCTGCTTTTTGTGGTACTGCTACCTGTTAGTCTGCTTTCTATGGTACTACTATCTGTTAGTCTGCTTTGCATGGTACTACTTTCTGTTAGTCTGCTTTCTGTGG